GTTACACAGGCATGATTTCTTTTCCTGTTATTCATCACCCAGGAGTGGTCCAGCTGTAATACTGAATGGTAAAATCCTAAATAACAAAAGAACCACTCATTCTTGAACTATTATTTTCTCATGATCCCAAGAAATCAAAGCTCATTTTGAGCRGATACTGTATGTCATAATCTCACAAAAACCTGACAGATTTTTTTCATGAAGCAAGATAACCAAATCAATTCATTATCAATAACTAAAATCTGTAAAAAGTGACCTGAATAAACTTTTCTTGTGATWCACTGCTTTATGTTAAACAAAACTTTAAAACCAGACTTTTAAAATTATACTAAGTACCATTAATTCCTATTAATAAATTAAATCAACATTCACAATTGTGTTATCTAAAATAWTATTTGCAAGCAAATATTGTACATTTATGTCATAAATTGTGGCCAATAAGACSTCTCAAGATAGGTTAACTCTTTTGACTTTTCCTGCAAACCCAGAGATATTCTAGCAGAGTRTTTTATTTTATTAAGTTTACTGAAGACTTTCACTTTTCTCTGCATGACTTTTTAAAGTGCCTGTGACATGCCTATCCATCGAATACAAAAAGTCAAAGAAAACACATTTTTATATATGAAACCTTGCATAAAACAGGATTTTTACCCATTTGGTCACAAAAATGACATATTTTCTTTTGAACTTAGATGAGCCAACGTGAAACAGGAAGTGACATCAAAGGGGAACTATTYAATAAAGAGAACTCGCTAGTCTTTAAATTGAAATTATATTATTTGAAATCTGTCTCTTCTTCATCTCTCTTTGATAATGACTCAAAATAATCTAAAGAAACATTGGATTATTCTCTGCAGTATATGTCCTTAGTTTTTATCAATGCTTTAATCCATGCAGACATTCCCCTTTGACATCACTTCCTGTTAATTCAAACGCAAACATCTCAACAACTGTTCACCTCAGCAGTGGGAAATTATTTTTGCAATGTGTTWTTAATGTTATCTTTCCAATAATGTCTTTATATGTATTTAAAAAAAAATCATGTACAGGCACTTTAATGTTTTGGCAGACTGCTCTGTATAACCAAAACAGAAGTCAAGAGAAAATTAGTTATTTTAAAATTTAATTAGATTTACAGACAGATAGTTTGTAATCTGCAACAATTAAAACTAGAAGTGACTTGTTGCCTTGTCATAAAGGTTTACTTCAAACAAATTAACTAAATGATCTTTCTTTCTCACAGCAGCTTACCTTTTCCTTCTCATTCGGTGTCTGGCTGTTAGATGTTTCAGAGAAAAAGAACACGTCTCCATCAACAAGGGCAGGGTCCATACCTGTCAACAGAAATAACACCATAATAAAGCATTTCTTATAAAGATAACATACAGTAGAATATTATAAAAGAATTTCATGAAGCAGGTCAGATTTCATTTGGTAGGACAAGGAGAGGGGGTTATCTGCGGAATCAAAGAAGGCATGTCACAAGAGTGGGCGTGTCAAAAGTATAAACGCTGTGGGTTACAAGGCCTACATGACGGTATCCTTAGATCCTGCTTGACCTCTATACAGCCTGACCCCAACACTAAGGATAACCAGGAGAAGTAGGGTCCTCCAGAAAAAGTGGTGCCGTACAGTAACGCCCCTTTTTTGCTTGTCCAGTCAGGTGTGTCCCTTTAACAAAGTCCGGCAAATCAGGTGTGTCGCTTTAGAATCCTTTCCTTGTGACACGCCCACTCATCCACAGAGACCCCTACTTGAGGCCAAGGAGGATAAACATGTGACAAAATAAGCATGTAAATAAAATTGAACTAAATTAGAAACAAATGATAATTTTAGTAGATTACATGAAAGC